TTCTAGTATTAAATCATTCACAAGCCATGTGGCAACAAAGACCCCACTGATAACTGGCTGTATATCAGTCATAACTGGAGTCAAGAAAACCCCTCAGAGGCTGTAGTATCACAATTGCTAAGATTTTCTGCGGTGATTGGAACACAATATAGATTGAAGGGGAGGCATCTAGCATTTAAGAAATGTGGTGACTATAGTAATTATAAGGGCTTGGAGTTAGCTGGTTATTGTTAAATTCATTGAGGAAAATGGCAACTTCAGGTCAGCCAACTATCAACTATGTGCAAAGTGTGAAAGCCAGAAGACTTCTGTGACAGCTAATAAAGAGATTCTCATCTCTTATTGTAAAAAGGCCAACGTTTTCCTAGAAATAGGCATAGAATTAGCTTTTGAGAGTCACATAATTATAAAGGAGGCTGCATTCATAGCCTGTGGCAGGTTTCTATGCAAACATCAGAGCACTGATAGGAAAAAAATAAAAGTAGAATGAGGACATCTGGGTGGACGCAATTAAGAACACTGAACTTCTAGATTCCCCTACACCCTCTGGATAGGCAGAGTAACCTCTTCCCCTTAGAGGGTGTAGTTTCTTCATTCCTAAAGACCATAAAAGATGACACTTGCTGTCTTCAGGATCTAATCCCATCTCCCCTCATGACTCCAGGCCACAAATAGGTCAGGTCTCAACATGGCCCACCTGGAAAAGTAGTCTCTGCTCCAGGGAAAGAAAAAAGAGGATATTCAACAAAAGAGATGCAAGATCTGCCTAAAATGAACCAGCAGATACTGACAGAACATGCCAGGGAATAGATGTTGAGGGAAATTGAGGCAAAATACACCTGGTCATCAATGTGGTGTGGAGGAACAAGTAGCCTGAGGTAAGAAAACACATGGACTCCTGTGCAGTGGCAAATGGCTTGGCTGGTTGGCCAATGCCCTTGAAGGAGCAAGATTGGAAGACCTTCTCCAGAGTTCTGGTGAAGAAGCATGAGGATAGACCTATGGAAGTCAGCATGAAATGTGCAGATCTCTTTGTCTCACATCAATGACCACTGGAGAGCATTCATCACAAAGGAGGTACTGAACAACGGGGTGGATAAGATAATTTGCCCATTGGAGGTCATCCAGGCTTTGTATGTGGCAACTGTAGTGCTTGCAAAATGGGCCCATAAATGCAGCAGCTGGGTAGCAGAGAGAGAGAGAGAGAATATACATGGGCCTAAAAGCATGGGCTGTTTCTCACCAAGTGTAACTATAGCTACCGCCACTGATGAATGACAAATCCATTGGAAGTTGTCCAATGCTGAGTCTTCAATATAGTACATTTCACAAATACAACCAACAACTTAATGTCAAATAGATTATATTTGATTTTATCCCTCTGGAGGGAGGTGGGGTAAATTTTGTTTTTCTTGTTATTGATACATATTCCAGTTATGAGTTCCCCTTTCCTGTTCACAGTGCCTCATCCAGTATCATCACTGAGCCTCCCAGTTCACTTACTGCCTGATTTATCATCATGGAATATCATCATGGAATCCTGCATAACATGTTCTCAAACCAAGCAACATATTTAATGGTAAAGGAGGCCCAATAATGAACAAATGACCACAAGATCCACTAGGTCTACCATACACTGTGTCACTTAGAACCTGTCAGCCTGATAAAATATGGGGACAGTCTCTTAAATGTGTGACTAAGGCTCCAGCTTGGTTACGATAATCTTTGAGTTGGAAGGTTGTCCTTCAAGATGCAATATGTACTTTGAACCATGGTGCTATGTCCATTGATGCTCTGGCACCAGCTTATATCCAATCATAAAAAATCATGGTTACGTTTTCAGGACGTTTTAAAGCCAGCTGACCTCACACAGGTAGCATGAAATTGGCCAGGGTGGGAGTATTTATATTATGAAAATTAGCAAATGCTACAAATCAGGTTTCCCCTCCCCACACTGGCTCTGCCCCGAAAAGGCAGAATGTGAGTGTGGGAACCAAGGGAAGGAAGTAGGAATGTCTCCTCTCACCATAACTCAAAGTGATTTGCTTGAGAAATTTGTATGTCCTGTCTCTGTAACTTTAGGCTCTGCTGAAATAAATGTTCTCCTTTCCAAGTGGGTGGGTGTGGGTGTGGGAGTGAGGTGGTGCTTCTACCAGGGTCACGGCAAGAATTTCACTAAACCTAAATCCATAACTACTATTGCATATTTTGGGCTTCTCATGTCAGTAGACTAACATACCAGAAAAAAAATTTACTCCACTGGCAGGGCTCCAGTTGACAAGGAGATTATCATGAGGGTTGCTACTACACAATGTGGGGAGGGAGAACTATGCACAGAACTCAGGGGATGCATTCAGGCACTCCCACGCTTGGTGATAACTGTGAATGCACAATTGCAGGAACCACTGTTTGAATGGACACAGAAATTATGGATTCATAGGCCTCTGAGATAAAAGTTTGGGTCAAACCACCAAGCAAGCTACCAGCACAAGAGATGGCCAAGGGTGCGGGGAAATTAGGAAAATATTAGAGGAGAGAAAAGATGAATATAAATTACGGACTTGGTTCTAACTCTAGTGGCACACTTTCCTGATGTACTATGTTTGTTCTTTTAAAACTTGTGACCAGTTGCCCAACTTGAAGGATCAGTGACTGGATCCAGTGGACACTGGCCAGGTTTCTAACTACCATCAGCTACAACTTTTTGTTTCAGTTCTCCTTCTGGTGGCCAGAGTCTGTTCTGCCCACACATGGGGAAGCCTGATCCTTAAAACCCCACCTCTTTTGGTCCTTAGGCAGAATAAACTTGAAGTTCATATTCTATACAGCTTCTAGGATTCCTCAGTAGAATTAAGTTCCTGTAAATTAAATTAAGATCCTTTAATTGGCTTCCTTCCTTCCTTCCTTCCTTCCCTTGCCTCACCTCCTCACTCCTTTAACTGTTAGTGTTTCCTGGGATCATGTTCCAAATAAACTATGTACACTTGAATCCACGGTAAGGATCAGGAAGAAGCCAGATTACGATATTAACCATATTTAATATCTGCTGGTTTTATATAAATTTCATTAGATATGCCAAATCTGTACCAAATTTAATGTTTTTATGACTTTCTCCTTTGCTATGCCAAAGATAATATTTTGTTAGCAACCATTCCAATGCCTTTGTAATAAACAAAATGTTTATGTACAAATGAAACCAAATGACTGTCTTTCTGATGATTTTATCTCAGACATCAAGCAGTACATTTTACTTGTTCGCATTTTGTTGAATAAGTGGTAAGGTAATACACAGGGTCAAATTATAAAATCAGACTGACAGAATCAGAGCTCTTATGCAGTATCAAATTTTACTAAATAATATCACGGATACAGACAAGCTAAAGGATTGCTAAGGGTTCAGATAAAGCAGAGAAAGATCTGGACCTGGACATGGAGGGTGGTACCCCAAGTTTTATGGGCTGGATTGTGTCCCCCTCAAATTCATATGCTGCAGTCTCAACCAGCAGTACTTCAGAATGTAATAGTATTTGAAGATAAGCCTTCAAAGAGGTGATTAAGTTAAAATGAGGCCATTAGGGTAGAGGCATAATCCAATATGACCGGTGTCCTTATAAGAAAAGGAAGCGACACCAGGGGTGTGCACACAAAGGGATGACCATGTGAAGAGGTGGCAAGAAGGTGGCCATCTGCAAGCCAAGGAAAGGGGCCTCAGGAGAAACCAACCCTGTTGGTACCTTGATCTTGGACTTCCAGCCCCCCAGAACTGTGAGAAAATAAATTGCTGTAGTTTAAGATACCCAGTCTGTCATATTCTGTTACAGCAGCCCTAGAAAACTAATAGACCAAGTCCTTCCGTACTGTATTGGAGACACCCCTCTGACCCAGATGAAAGGATGGCTCACAAAGAGGTTCCCAGGTCTCCTTGTATAGTGGGAGTATTTAAATTATGAAATATCTCCAATTTATCACCCGGAGAGTTAAATCTCTTACAGGACATTTTTTAGGGACTGTTGCCTCATTGATCCTGGGTTCTATTTATGATAGTTACCCTTATCCAGGGATATCCTGCTAAAAGCATTTTAGGAATACATCCTCTTCCCCTTAGTAAATATCATTTATTTAATTTCCTGGAGCTCAGGTTGACAAGAGATTATTCCTGGTTCCCCTGCCTACTTTTCCCTGGGGGTGCCCTTCCAATGAAGGGAGTAAATCAATTGCAGGCCTGCTGCTTTAACTTCTCCTCCCAAGCGGTTTTAGAGACAGACCCATTCACCTTTGTTTAATACAAAATGACCTCGCCACAAATTCCTCTTCCCTCACCTTCATCTCTATGCATATAACCACTTCAAATGTGAAATAATATCCATTAGTAGATGGCCATGAAATTGTTTGCCTAAATTCTTTGAATGAAAATGAGACAAGGTAGCATTCATTTTGTCCTGTTTCATTTGCTTCAGAGTTCAGTACTCTCTAGCTATGAGTAGGAAGGTCTAAGATGGTTCTGGGAAAATAAGACTTTAAAGAAGCACATTCAAATATCTATTGGTTCTTGTGTTAATAAAAAAAACATGCTTTAAAAACATAATACATTATGGGTATGCGTCCAGTGTGAAATGAACATTATAATGAACAGAAAATTGCCATACAATCATACTGCCAAGTTGCTGCTTATTAGGAGTTACAGTGGTACCAATGAGTACAGGGGTTCATGTCATCTGTTTAAGCTCTCTGAGTGAAGGATAATATGTGTAATGTTTTTCCTCCATATGCATTACTTCAATTACTTCACTAGTGGGTAAAGACTTAGACATTCAAAAAGAACCTTGGCATGCAAGTATAGCAGAATTAGTAATAAGATAGGATAGCTCAGTAAGATAGTCTCATAATAGATCAGAAATATCTCAGCCCATCTATGATAAAACACTATAAAGTATTTAAAGTCAAGGGGAGATAGAAATTGCAGATTTAATTCAGCAAAAATGCAGTCATCTTGTACTTACTGAAGCTACATTCACAAAATCATCATCTGAGAGAGTTTCCAACATTTCGGACACGGATGTTCGGATCAGTTTTAGTGTCAATCCACTAACACTTCCACTCCTATAAAAAAATGAGTTCATGCATGTTAATGACCACATATTTAATCAATATCAGACACCCTAAAAAAGGTACCTTATGCACTGGCTTTAGATCATTTATATAATGTTCAAATAATAATTTTGTCTTTAAAAAATCAGTAGTAGAAAGAGTCATATTTCTGATAGAATAGAAATAAATTATAAGAAATCTTGTCTTTCTTTCCTACCAGCATCAGAATGTATATATTTCTAACTACAATTATAAAAATTACATGTCAAGTGACAATTTCAAGAAAATATGGATACTCATGGCATATTCATTTATTCAGGAAATATATAACTGAATACCAGCTCTATTAGCCAAGTTAGAAGTGAGAGCTACAGAGGTTAATAGTCATTACCCTAGGGAGCCCATTGTTTGACTTGATTAAACCAATAATTATGAAGCAGCATAACAATTGTGATAATAGATTTGTGGACAAAATGCCTTGTTTTGTATCCTAAAGTAGATGTTCTCTGGGGTTTAGTCTTCATTTGTCTTGTCTCTACATATTCCATGATCCTCGACGACCTCATCTATTTGTGTGGCTCATCTCTAGGCAACTAACTCCCACTTGTACATCTCTAGCTCTCGACCTCTTCCCAGTTTTACACTTCACTGCTTGTTAAACAACTACAGGCTCAATGTCCAAAATGACAAATGATTCCCAAACATAGTCTTCTTTTCTATTCATGTTCTTGGTAACAACCAGGCTAGAACTCAGTCAACCAATTTCCTCCTCCCTCTCAATCTTCCTACCCGTTCAGACAATCTCCCTTATTCATTTCACTTTACAATGTTCCCAAGACAGTGGCCTCCTCTCCATCGTCTCTCCACTCTGCCTCAGGTCTTCATTACTTGAAGAGACTGAGCTAGGGTAATAGCCACTCCATCCAGCTCTTAGTCTCATCTCCTCGCCATGCTAACAGGTGAAAATTCTGGAAACACACCTTGATCCAATACGTTAACAGGTCATGGTTACCTACTAAATAGCCAATAATCTCAATAGCCCTGCATTGAAAAAACTTGCATAATCTTTTCTCTCTCTCCTTCCTCCATCTCCTCCATATAGTTCCCCCAGATGTTCTCATCTATGCCACTTTGCTTCTGTCAATTCTTCCACCTGAAATTCCACTCTTTCCTCTCCCCTCCCATGCCTGCCTTGTTAGATCTTAGCTCTAAGCATTCAATTCTAATTGTACTCCTTAATGAAGTCTTTCCTGATACTTTAAATCAAAGTGCCATCTCCTTCCTATGGACTCCTTTAGTGCTGTGTCATACTTTATACCTATTACCTTCTACAATTATTTTAGTTATTCATGAATATGGTTTAGCTTCACTAATACATTTGAATTATCTTTGAGATCATGGACCACATCTTAATAATTTTTGTCTCTATTCTATGTTATCAAATGGTATATAGGAGACCCTCAATACATTTCTGCTGAAATAATTTTTTAAAATGGTATTTTAATTTCATATACATTTTCAATCTTGGGATATGCATGTGGGTTCCAAAGATTTTAATAAGAGAAATTATTTCTGGAAATTATCATATATCCAATAGGATTATAACATATTGCATAACCATTTAGATTTATACTTAAGAAGAATATCAAGGATTAGCAAATGATATAAATTCTGCAATAATTTAATTAAAACAAAATGTGATTTAAATGCATTTTAACAAATGAAATGAGAATTAACATTTAAATTACATTTGTCGAATTCATTTATCTTCTCTTTCTCAGGCTAGGTTATAAGGTTTTGAACTTGTTTACTTCAGGACATAAAGGGAAATTTTCAAATATTGATACTAGCTGTGACATGGCTTTAGTTGCCTACAAAACATTGGATTCTGTTTCTTCCAATGTGTCAAGGAACATATAAGCATATACTTTTTTCTCTCGGGGAAAATAATCTAAGTATTTTATATCTCATGTTTGTAATTCCTTGGTATTTTTCTTAAAAATTAAATTCCACAGCAGGATACATTCTTTTCTATGTTCTACAATTTCATCTTCAATCTTATTAGAAGATTACAAATACACACACACACACACACACACACACAAACCCCTTAACTTGAAGCAATGTAACAAACAAATAAAATGACCAATTTAAAAACTCCTGGAATTCTTTCTTATATGTCAGCATTTCCCTTGAAAGAGTTCCAGTATTGACAATATATTTAATATTTATCTATTTTGTGGCCAAATCCCTAAAAGTTATTTGAATCATTAATGACTAAGTGCCAATGAAATGATTCTACTTTTTTTTTGGTAGTAGGAACTGCTTCGTTTTAGCAACCATGTACTTGAATGGTTTAAAATATAAAGCAAAATATAAAGCAAAAAATTGGAAGCAAATAAATAATTTTTCAAAAAGCTCAGAGCTTAAAACTATGCCATAATTTTCAATTCTGATACAGATTCTTCTCACTTTCAATAAAATGATTTTTGTTCATTTTGTTACTGTCTTAAATATGGCTTCTTTGTATGGGTATAAAAGTCATCATAATTATTTTTTGTCTTTTTTTTCCAACCTATTTCTCAGTCCCAACATATTACTGTTATCTATGAATCCTCCTTATATTCTCAGTACATAAATAAATATATAATATTTAACTACTCACACATCAACCAGAATTAGCATGTCTTTAGGAGATGCAGCTCCTTGGATATACCTGAAACAAATACCATATGAATATTTTTTCTCTTGCAAAATATCAAATATAGAAATTTGTCGAATTAATATTTACTGATCTCTGCGATAAGGTATTTTCCAAGCAAGGCCCTACTTCCATTCTATCTCAGAAGACAATGCTCTTTCATTCACAATTCTGCAATGTCAATTTTAAAAAGTTATATTTAACATGATAGTAGAAATGTCAGAGGCATAATATTTAAAGTATATTTTACAGATATTTATAACAAAAGATAAAGAGATGTGTTTTAATACCAGAAGCAAAAGAAATTAACTTCTAGAAGGACAATTTCCTGAAAAAAAAATTATCCTAAACTCCAATTTGTTGACCACAGATTTTAAAACTTACTCTAAGGAATAATAATAATAACAAATAATCATAAGATTATGCCATATTTTTAAAAGCAAAAAATAAACACGAAAATAGATAAGTGGTCTAGGAACATGAAAAAAACAACATCAAAAGAAAAGAAATACAAAGGGACCATAAAGTAATTAAAAATAGAACAATATATAATGTTATTACCAAGAGTCTCAAGTGGTGACTCAAACTTTATAGTGTCTAAGAATCACCTGGAGAGCCAGTTCAAAATGCTGATTCCCACATTCAACGGCAGCCCTACAGATTCAGAATCTCTGCATATTAAAGAGACTCTAGGAGAGTTCTATTTAGATGGTTTGGCAATTGTCAAGAGAGAAACTTAATTGCAGGGGAATGATCCCAAAAGCTCATGTTGCCTGGCACAGACTGATGGGGAACAAGTGGCCAGCCTTCCCCGACAGGAAGAGCTGCACCTGAACTCAACTTTCTACTTCTATCTGAGGCCTCTTTGCTCATGACTCTAAATCTAACTTCTCAGAAGCCTGCCAGATAACTTGACAATTCGTTTTCAGACAATATCCAGCACAGTTAGTTATCTACTGAGGACTATGTGTTCATGAAACAGGGTTTATAACTTGCATCCAAGTGTGTTTCTCTTTAAGAAGGTAAAGGGGCAGGGTTGCCGGGATATTCCAATGGAAGGCAAATCTAGTTCATGTCTAGAATCTTAACAATAGCCCTGGCATGCCTCTCAATGGGAAGATGAGAGGACAGGATATTGTCCCCCTCTTCTGGCTGGCACGTAGTTTGTAAGTTTCCCCAAGACGATCGGTTCCTGAATCTAAACCATATGGTGTCATAGTCTTTGCCTCCACTCAACAACCCATGGCTCCCTGTCACATCACTTGGAGAAATATTAACAAGAATAATATGTGAATTAATAATATATGGCACTATTATACATGGTTGGTGTTCATGTAAATTGCTATTGGGATGTTTAACACCGCATTTTAAAAGACTTACGTACATTTCTTTGAATCAACCATTATGCATCTTAGAATTTGTTTGAACCCTAGCAAAAACAAATAATCTAATGTCCAATAATGAGATTTTTAAAATAAATTACCATATAGTCATTGTTTTAAAATGATGTTTGGTGTGTCTCTGAAAAAACAGGCACTCAAAAGGTATTGATATGCAAGAGTAGGTTACAAAGCACTATTTTATATAAAACGTTAACTCATTAAAATATATATATATCCACACTTAAATAAATTTTTAAAAAACATATAAAATTCACTAGTTTAATAGTTGTTTCCCAGTGGGTACAATTATGAGTTATTTGGTATTTTTCAAGTTGTTTGTAGGAGAATGAGTTGCTTTAGCAGTGAGGAACAAATAAACCTTCTTTTTGGAAAAATGAAACCTAAGCTATATCATTATAACTAGGGACAGCTCTTACCTTGGGGGCAGTTCTCATTAGTTCACTGCCAGAGGCAAATTACCTTCTACTCTAGCTAGACACTTTGTTAGCGCTCTACTCCAAGCAAAGTGGGAACCTTTCAATAGAAATCCCCACCAGCTAAAAGAGATTTAGAGATGGCATTGAATATAAAACTTCAAGTAGTCTATTTGAAATGCATCTGATAAATCATTTCAACAATATTCATTATTGTTGTCTACCTTTAACTGTATTAATTTATTAAAAAAAACAGAGCTCTTTAAATAATTAGACTATATTCATCCTAATAATGGAAAGACTTTTTCCAACATTTTTACAAAAACGGTAACCTTGTTTTTTCCATTTTATCTTTTCACGACTACCTAAAAATTCTTACCATGGTCTTCTGCGTACATCATAAAGGTCAATCTTGTTTGGAGTTCTACTGTTATCAACCCATGGAGAAGCTAAAAAAAAAAACAGGGAAATTAAATTAAATTGAAAAGAGAAATTAAACCATAACATTAGATATGACCTATAAAAATATTTAAAAAGTCACAAAACTCCACTGACACATTCCACTTATCCAGAGCAATGGCAGATGGGAGATATAATTTTATGTCCTTAATCTTTTTCTTTTTAAAAAAGGAAAACAACACAGCAGTACAAAAGAAAGTTAACATAGTCAGTTTTCTTTTTCACCTTGCCTCATAAATAATTGTAGACACAGAGATTTTCTGGGTGCCAACTTACATGTTTTATCAGGTGTCTGGAGGTTATATATTTTCTTTCCTTTTTACTAACAGAAAAATTTACCTTTAAAGAAAATTTATTGGCCACTAATGGGAATTGTATTATCAGTTATTTGTTCCTTATATTTTCACTCAATGCCATACGATATTGGTCAATAAAAAGACTTGTTTTTCTTGGATTGTTATCATATAATAGCATAATTTTTTACTCTTTTATTCACATATTTGATAATGGCAAGTCCATTTGAAATTATAATTAAAAGGTTAAAGTATAATTAACATAACTCCACAAAAACTTTTCTCCTTAAATTTATTTGAAAGATCTGAAGTAATTCAAGTACAAATTCAAGAATCTTCTGCTAGTTTCAGAGCCTTTATCATTTTGCAGTAATCAGAAAAAAATTTTGTCTAATTGCATTGATTTTTAAATGCAATTAATTTATACTTATTCTAATTAAATCTATACTTACTTTAATTAAAGTGCTTTACACACACACATCTTAGACCCAATGAGAACAATAAATGCTGATAAATTGGATGATAATTTTTTGCTGAAGAAGTTCTCTCCTTGAACACATTTGGACATAAGTCTCTTGGGAAACTTCTTAATAATAATTCATTTGACTTATGCCCTCCAATCTATTTGGCCCTTTTCTTTATTGAGAAACTACAGAAATTATGGAGAACTTTACAGAGAATCAGGTTTATTAGCAAACTAAGATAATTCCGCCAATTAGGATATGTCAAAAATGTATACTACTGAGCCTCTCCTTGACTGTGAAATTTCTTTCTTATTAGTGGCTACATTATAAAATGATTTATTCATTTTAAATGACTAATCACATTTATATGAAACAGTAAGTCTAAATATAGCACTCCCCCAACCACCATTTACTGATATAGTCAATGCAGCTGAAATAGTAAAGTTTACTTTAATTCCTTCAATTTGCATTTGCGGAAATTTAGAGCTAGTGAGATAAAATATCACCTTTTTTGTAAGTGTGTGGTAGCACTGAAATTAAGCAATAAGCATGCTGGGAGAAATGTTAGTTCACTTCCAACTATTCCTCTATAACATCTGACTCCTCAAGTTAGGATATTAGTAGTAACTACAAATTTAAATAAATTATGTCCTACTTTCAGTACAATGTTGTGTTGGTTATACATCTATTGCCTCAACTCCAAATTCACCTTTTACCTTGCTCTATGAAAATGGATTTGGGCCTTTTAAATATTTTTCTTTGACCAACAAGCACAATTTTCAGCTTTGTCAGCAGATGATAAAAGAGAGACCTTGAACGTGAAAAGGGTTTTTGCTTCCTGCTTCCGGTTTGTTTGCTCAAAGGCTCTTGCAGCAGGTGCAGCTTTCCTGGTGTTGGGCTCTTGTGGTGCACGTGTATTTGTCAGAGCTCAGCTCCCACAGTGCTTGCAGCTTCCCCAGAGCTCAGCTCCCGTAACATGGGTAGCTTCTCCAGACCAAGGTGTCTGCAGTGCTCTCAGGCTCTCCAGCAGCTAACAGCAGCAGTACTCCCTGAGCACTTTTGTAGTGGAGTGCCTCCAGCGGGACACTTGGAACCCTAGAGCAAATCCTTCCAGTGTGACACTGTAGTGACCCTTCTGTCATTCAGTGGGCCATGATATGTCCTCTATAAGATCTGGGATGTCAGCCCTGGGGCACTGGGGGATTGAGGTCACTTTCTTGGGCTCTCTATCTCAGCTCTAGTGGTAGTAGTCTATTATATATTAGATTATATCATATTATATCTGGTTTTTCCTATATTATTCAGAGTTCTCTGTACTTCTAGCCAGCCCCTCACTACTCCAATCCTTGTTACAGTTAATAATTCTTTATTAAAAAATAAACTTTCCCTGTTCAAATATTGTGTGTTTTCTCTGTCCTGAGTGGACTCAGACTGATACAAGTGTGTGGGTGAGATGAGAGAAGTGAGATTAGTCACCAATGCCAATACAATAGCGGCCACTATGAGTTGAAAGTGGTCAACCGATACATTTGATAAATGGTTTAATAAAACGAATTTGAAAGTCACGTTTAAATTAGATTTCTGAATTCTTTGCAGATCACATTCATCTAGGATTTTGTTTTCACTATAATTGCTAATTGAAATTAACTGTGATATGTATTACTATGCTCCATAAAATTGATCTTTCTTTAAAGGCAGAAAAAGAGTTATAATTTACAATATGACCCAGGCCATTAAAATTAATATAGTTTATAATCTTAGTTTATATTTAAAAGTATTAATACTCTTCTCTTAGAAGTCTTCTGAGATATTTACTATTAGGAAATATCCCTTGATTATACTAAAGTGAGATATTTATATTATGGTAAAATTAAACAATGTACTTTCTTCTGTGATATTACTAATTAATTTGTTATAAAATCCCATGGCAGCATTCAAGTGGTACATTATTGATATAGGCTCAGAATTATGGAAGGTCAAATACTAAAAAGGATAATAACCATACACTGCAATTCCCTGAAATAATCAGTTTCATAATGATGCATAGTGAAAGCTATATGTTTTGAGAGGACGTCAGGGCTCCTAAATTCCCTGTAAAAAGCGAAACATTGCTCATTTTACATGTCCCTTTCACTTTCCAATAAGATTTTGGGATGACAGGAGAAAGGACTTGAAATAACAGTCCACAATGTGGGCATCTCATTTCTGAATGCCATTGTTAATGGTGATAATGATCATGTATGAGAAGGTTTTTCCCCAACTGGAAATGAACTGTGGGTGTGTCTTTGACTAAATCTACTGGACTACAATTCTACTTCACATAATATTAAGGGTATGCTATGTTAGTCATCAAATCACTGATTTAAAAAGGTGTTTATTTGTACATTAATTCAGAATACTGAAATTCAGAATACTGAAATACGTGTTAGAGAAAAATTCTTGGGAAAGTATGCAGATTGTAGAGCTATTTTCTAGTTAATATGGTCTAAAAATAATAGAGTATCAGTTTGTCATTTCAGCTGCTAGGAAATAATAAAGCATATAATGATGAATTGAGGGCTGATTCTCTTGGTGGAAACAGCACTTTAAATGACAGCTAACTGCATTTCCAATTAAAAAGTTCAAATGCATTTTTTGAATTCTAAGAGACTTCACATTTTTAGTCTCATTAAAAGAAAAAAAAAGTAAATTTCATATATTCAAAAATGCTTTTAAAAGCCAACCCTGGTCCTATTGCCTGGATCTAATTGATGTTACATGGATCATTATTTTAGGCTTGTCTCAGTCATCGCCTATGGAGTATTAGTCATGGTTCTGAATTATAAGCCATGATAATGAATTTGGACCATTTTTTAAGCCAGAATTAATTCAATAAATGTATATTGCATAGCTCCCACAATTTCCAGGAATTTGAGTGTTGCTGCCCTACTACAACCAACCCAGAACGGATTCTCCATAGTCCCTAATTTGCATCATGGCTCCCACATCAAGGTTCTGGATGAGTCTCATTAACAGAACGCGGGGTATGTACCCATACCAAGGTGCCAGAGAATCTAGGAAGAAATAGTTGGCTCTTCAGATTTTGTTAGGAAATGGGCTCTGCTCCCCAGTAAAACTTTTAACCTTAAAAATACCCTAAACATAGAAAGAAGATTCTATATTAGTTATGGTAACAGAAAATAACTTAAACAATCTCAAATCTTCTGTTTCCTAGCACAAAGTTTATTTCTCACTCATATAACAGTTTAAATTAGATATTACTAGTCATGGAGGCATAGATTCTGCTTCAAGCAGGTATTCAGAGACCTATAGCTGGTGGAACTTTTGCCTTCTTCAACACTTGGTTTCCAACATCACCTAGGGCATTGACATGCAGCTGCCAGAGGGAGGGAGAAAGTGTGGAGAAGGCATACTTAAGTCATAACAATCTCAGGCTTGAGGTGACACATACAGTCATGTGCCACATAATGATGTTTCAGTCAATGACAAATTGCATATACTACAGCAGTCTCATAAGATTATAATGGAGCTGACAAATTCCTATCGCCCAGTGACGTTGTAGCCATTATAATATCATAGCAAGAGAAAAGGAAACTGCAAGAGAAGAAAAAGAACCTCCAATAAAATTCACAGTGAAGGGTTTAGCAGAAGCTTTTGCAGACCTCAATAAGCTCCTTAAAAGGTTGAAAACATGTACCTCAACACTAAAAGGTTTTCATTAATAGAGAAGAATGTTCATGGTGCATTATCTGCTTACAAGCAAAACTATGATGAAAAAAAGAAACAAACCAAGCAAACCACCATGGACATATTTCTGAAAAGAGTGACATCTCCTCAGGAAGAGTGTCAGGCAGGTCCTTCAAGAGGCATTCCAGAAGAAGACATTGTTATCACAGGAGATGACAGCTCCATGTGTGTTATTGCCCCTGAAGACCTTCCAGTGGGACAAGATGTGGAGGTGGAAGACAGCGATATTGATGATCCTGACCCTGTGCAGGCCTATGCTAATGTGTGTGTTTGTGTCTTAGTTTTTAACAAAAAAGTTTAAAAAATAAAAAACAAAAAAAACAAGATTTATAGAATAAGGATAGAAAGAAAGAAAATATTTTTGTACAGCTATACAACGTGTTTGTGTTTTAAGCTAAGTGTTATTACAAGAGTCAAAAAGTTTAAAAAAAAGTAAAACTTTATAAAGTAAAAAAGTTATAGTAAGCTATGGTTAATTTATTACTG